GGACAGGCAGGGTGGAGGTAGCCCAGGGCTGACCGGCGCTGTGTGGGATTCCACATCACAGAGGACGGACTGAGCGAGATACTCAAGAAGCAACAATAAGACTAAAATGCAGTGCTTGTGTTGTTCTTGACTTATACAAAGATTTTTAGCACACTTGAAATGTCCGGGATGGGCAAAGAGTAGGACACTCTGGAGTTAAACAGCCAACTGGCGCCCCGTGCGCTCATGTGACCCTATACAATTTCCATATAACCCTCTGCAATTACGAGTGTCAACCCCCCTCCCCCCCCTTTCCTAAAACAGAAGGTAAAGCAAACTGTAACTCCTGCACAATTAGGAGTTTCCTCTGTTGACATAAAGACGTTGTACTCACACCCGGAACTTTGCACCTACCTATTTGACGTTTTTGGGGGTGTTATTTGTTTATTTTGACCAGCCGGTTGGGGTGGGGAAGTGTGTGTGTGTGTGTGTGGGTGTGGGTGGGTGTGTGTGTGTAGAGGGGGGAGAACAATAGAGAGAGAGAGAGAGAGAGAGAGAGAGAGAGAGAGAGCGTGTGTGTGGGGGGGCGCTTTAATTGTATAAAGCAAACACGCAGTATTTTCTATTTTCAAGTAGCACTTCCTTATTTGCCAATGGGCGCTGGGGTGGAGCGGGTAGGCATTTCGCTGTCGCTCACATCAGCAGTAGAAGGGCTGCAGAGAGAGTCATGAGCCCAGAGGAAGGGGCAAAGGAGGTGAGGGGGAGGAGGCAAAAAGTGAAGACGAAAGCAGACGACAGAACATTGCTAGAGAGAAGGAGAGGAGGTGAAAGGAGACAATTTTAGAGAAGAAAATGTTCCGGTCGCCACCCGGATTCGAACCCGGGACCTTTGTATGAGAGGAGAACACCTTAACCTCTAGGCCACGAGAGCCCCCATAACACTCTAGCATCAACGCCCACTACCCTCTGGACGAATTTAGTTTAGCTTTCTCTGCTGTTATTGTCATATTTCCGTATTATTCTCGTCTTGTTTTCTGTAATGTTCTTGTGAGGTCAAAGCTTCTAGACGGCTGTGAATGCAGAACAAACCAAAAATGTCAGAATCAAACAGGAGCAACAGAAATGTGATTTCTTTGGAGGTGCTTGAGAATTTTATGGAAAGAAAAGAAACCAAACAAGGGCGGAATGAAAGAGCCCAGGTGGACGGCTCACTAATGAGGACAATCAGGAAGCGACAAATCCTGTTTCTAGAGCACTTGACACGACAGAAGGGCTTTGAACATCTTGCTCTCTCTGGAATCTTGCTCTCACTGGAAAGATAGAAGATGAACGAGGCCGGAAAAGACATGGATGGACTTATTTAGAAAACTGGAACAGATGAGAGACGGGGGAAATACCAGGATAATGTGGGAGTTTTTTTAGAGGATCCGAGAGGAGAATTGAATTGAGAACCATAATCGCCGATGTCTGTTTCCGATTTGGTACTTTATGATGATGATGAATATTCTCTTCTTTTTTTCTCTAATGTTCTTGACATTTTTCTTGTAAAGTTCTCTTCGTGTTTTTTGTTCTTTGATATTCTCGTCATGTTTTCTGTGAAGTTCTCACCATGAATTCTTTGATATTCTCGTTATGATTTCTTAAAGTTTTCGTCATGTTTTCTTTGATGTAAAGTTCTCGTCATGTTTTCTGTAATATTTCCATCATCCTTTCTATAATGTTGTCATGACGTGGGTGGTTGGTGGAGGTTCTGGTGAGGTTTTCTCCTCTACCCCATCAAACATCAATCGTCCTTATCTTTCCTTGGCGCTCATGCGACCTTATGTAGTTGCGAGCGCCGTAAAACCTTACAAAAACCAAACGTAGAATATATCTCCTGCTTCTGTACTTTACATTCTGGTAGTAATAACCATAATCTTCGGCACTCATATGACCTATTTACGCTGCAAGTGCCGTAAAACTGTTATACTGAAATAATCGACATTTCTCCTCATATTTTCCGAAACGTTCTCGCCATGTTTTTGTTTTCTCCTCATGCTGTCACCAATAATACTGTCCCCGTGGTTCTTAATAATTATTTAGCAATATTTGAAAATGTTTTGCATAATTTCTGATTATTTTCCTTTATCAATCTTTGTTGAAATTAACAGAATCGCCTAATTTCACATTTTTTGGCTCAGTTTGCATAATTTCAGAATTTTTCTTGCTTAAAACGACGGGGACAGATAATATTATTGTCTTTGTCTCACTACCCAACAATCCTCCTGACCCAGCTCATTATTTACTCCGTCACACTCTGCGGTAATCCTCCATCGATGCACTTGTGGATGTCGTAAGCTCTCTGTCGTCCCGGGCCAGATCAATAAGATTCATTATTACCTGCTTGTCCTGGCCTTGTTCGAGAGATAGAAAAGACAAACAAATACATGTACATGGACTTTCCACGTCTTTGTACCGGGGCGTTTGTTTGGCTACGTAAACACGGAAGAACGGACACGTTTGTTTTGGGGACGTAGAGGTCATCCTGGTTCAGTTTTGAAAAAACGTTTACAGATGATGTGAGAATTATTGTCTGAAAACACGAGCTTCTTGGACCAGCAGTTGAAGAGGAGGGTAACGTTCTGATTCTTTTCTAGTTCTAAAACATGAGGTGGAATAAACGAACGTAAAAGATGTTTTTAATATAGTGTGTTTATCTGTAAATGTACATCCGTACACACACACTGAGAGAGACAGACAGACAGACAGACACACACACACACACACACACACACACACA